CCCCCTCCCTCCAACCCTCCTGCGCCCCCCTCCTGCCCCCCCCCTCCTGGCCCTCCCTCCAACCCCCTCCTGCCACCCCCTCGAAAAAAATAATAGAAACTTTGTCAGTGGAAGAAGTTAGAGGAGGAGGGGGAGGGGGAGGGGGGGGGGCTGGTAAAGTTAGGGGAAGATGGTACACACTTAAGGCCTGAGACACTTACGCTTTAGTGCTGATGAGAAGGGGAGAGTCCGAGGATGGCCTACCGATTTCCTCCTCCGAGATCTGGAGAGTGACCGAGAGAGATAGTTACCGCCTATTCTCTTATTTACTCTGGCTTATTTACTTCTTTCTTCAATGTTAGGATTATGTTTTCTTTTTCCTTTCTTGCCGTTTATCAATTTATCCATTTGACCTGTTATCCTTACGTCTTTCTATTACAGCTTTCTCCTATTCGAAAGTTCATTTATCCACAAGTCTTCCCACTGCTTCTATTCACCCCCCTCCCGCCTCCCTACACCCAAAAATATACACTGAAGAGGTGGTGTGGTCCTGACGACACATCCTCCTACCGAAAGTGAAACATCGACGCCCCCCCAAGAATTTGTGGTTCCCTCAGACGTGAAAGAAATCTAGGTTAGAGAAATTAATCTCATTGACGAGAACTGATGGAAGAAAGGTTTCCATTTTCCCTTCCCAGGATTAACAAGAACCTCGTCAGACGTCGGTAGAAGAGGAGCGGATAAGACCTGTATGGGTGAAAGACCTTGAGGCGATGATCAAGAACTAAGTTAGAGATTGTGGTTAATTAATGTGTGTGTGTGTGTTATATTGGGTTCGTGTTAAGGTTATAAACTGCCGTGTGGGTTGGGTTTATAGATATATTATGTGGTGTTTGTCTTTCTGTTTTCATCTCTCTCTCTCTCTCTCTCTCTCTCTCTCTCTCTTTCTCTCTCTCTCATTCTCTCTCTCTCTCATTCTCTCTCTCTCTCATTCTCTCTCTCTCTCTCATTCTCTCTCTCTGCATTCTCTCTCTCTCTCTCTCTCTCTCTCTCTCTCTCTCCTTCTCTCTCTCTGCCTCAGAGGTTAAGGTCAGAACTCCATGTCTTGTCTCGTGGGGTTTCGTCTCCTCGACAATAAAAATCACCCAATCACTCTCAATAGCCAGACGATAAGAAACATTATACTCTATAGGATCCAGTAATAAGCCTATTATTTACTCAACTCTCACTAAATCCTTCCAGATCAAAGCTTTCATAACTCAGCTATAATAACAAAATAACTTACCTTTGCTTTATACTTCAGCTATAAGTTATATCATAGCTGTAAGTGGTCTAAGCAGTGGTTTATCTTAGCTCGATATATAGGTTGAATTGACTGCTGTTCGAAGTGAGTGTTTGTGTGAGTGTTTGTGTGAGTGTTTGTGTTGGTGTTTCTGGTTTTTTGTCGCAATGATTCGTGAGGCTTAGTCGTCTTAGTCAATCGTAGCTAAAATTGCATCATTCGTCTTGTGGTAATAGCTGTTCTCTACCACCTCCGCGTTCCTGATTGTCTAGCTAAAAATACGAGCCGTGTACCTGATTATTTACGAAAACGAAACTGGAATAACATTGACTAGAGATATGTGATGTGACTTTTGAACCTGATTGGATAGGCATTTGAGTTTTGAATCTGATTGGTTTTGAGCACGAAGCTTGAACATGATTTGTTAGGAGTACCGGTGAGAAGAAAGTGTCTCGAATCTGATTGGTTGGGACTAAGTATAATGCAAAGTCTTCAATGAATTTCCGAAACACAATTCTTATCAAGGGCAACTGATACACATGAAGACCGAGGGTATTTGTTCAACATTCTTTATGATTGTTGAAGATACAATCAAAGTTCCTGATTGATGACTGTACACTCAGAATTCCCGACAGGAGAAAATACTTGATGATTCCTTACTGGTGTTTTTAAAAATTCTTTGTATACGCGTATGAAAAAAAAAATAATAATATAATTGACATATATGAAGCATATCTAATAAACTTCTATCACAATTACAGCATACTAATCTAACTTTCAAACTGAATTACTATGATTTTTAAGATATTTCACACTTCTTCTGTTTATGCGAACAGTAATGAAAATATGTGAAGTCAATATATTTTAGAAAACTTTTAACACTAACATATTCATAACCTTTCTTTTCTTGCAGGTAAGTAGAGCAGAGAGAATCGAACCTTATAAACTATAAATCAAAAAAACTGCTGACAAAAACCACAAGGTCAAGGTAAGTTAGCAATCCCATAATAACATTGGTAAGATGGAGGAGGTCATATGGCAACACTGAAACTAGGAGAAAAAAAGAAGTGTTATGGTATGAAGGTAAGTTGATAGCCTTGTGACACGAATTGGTAACACTGGTTGAGAGTGTTATTACAGAGACTAATTTATGATGTGGTAACACGATTCACTTAATAACCAAAGTACCCATTGGTTGGTATAGGCGTCAAGAGTGGGCAGTGCTAAGTCAATAAACCAATTTGTGAAAGTTTATGCTATGAATGTCTCTTACACCCGCTGATAACATTATTAGAAACTATGTGAACGATGTACATTGTGTTTAGTTTCTATTCCAAACATAACTTACCACACACACACACACACACACATCACCTGTTGTTACACCACAGTCGGTACGAAACATGCAATTCCAGCCTCTACCAAGCTGTGTGTTTAGTAAATCTCCTTCACGGCCTCCTTCCTCCTGGGACCAGAGTTACTGACATTACTAATAGGCATCTTCTTCCTTCCCCTGCTCGCCCCCTTCTTCTCACTCCTTCCCTTTCCTCCCCAGCTACTTTCCCACCCCCCTTCTTTCTATTCATCAAGACTCTAACCCTCTCGCTTCCATTTCCTTCCTAGCCCTACTCCTTTCTCTCCCCTCTTCATTCAACTCTTTCCCATCCTCCTCTCCTTCGTCCCTTTCCCTTCTTCTACCTCCTCCTCGCCTCCTTCCTTCCTCCTTCCTCCCTCTTACCTCTCCTCCTCCTCCCCACCTTGTAAATTCCCAGAATAGCAAGGGCTCCCAGACTCAGGGCAATGAATAATGAATACCTGGGAGAGAGATTCAGTCACACTACCCAGATACCATCCTCCCACCCACTGACTACCACCCATCTTCTGTGTGTGTGTGTGTGTGTGTGTGTGTGTGTGTGTGTGTGTGTGTGTGTGTCTGTGTGTGTGTGTGTGTGTGTGTGTGTGTGTGTGTGTGTGTGTGTGTGTGTGTGTGTGTGAATGTTCGTATTCTGCCTGACCGCTAATCTCACTGGATAAATAATATATAATAAAGCAAACGTTGAAAAAAATAAATATTTGAAAATGAAAAATATCAGTCTCAGGGCGTTTTGCTTTATTGTGACTGGATCATGGATGGATGGATGGATGGATGGATGGATGGATGGATGGATGGAGGGATGGAGGGATGGATGGATGGATGGATGGATGGATGGATGGATGGATGGATGGATGGAGGGAGGGAGGGATGGAGGGATGGATGGAGGGATGGATGGATGGATGGATGGATGGAGGGAGGGGAGGGGAGGGGAGGGGAGGGAGGGAGGGGAGGGGAGGGGAGGAGGGGAGGGGGAGGAGGGGAGGAGGGATGGAGGATGGTGGATGGATGGATGGAGGGGAGGGGAGGGGAGGGGAGGAGGGAGGGGGAGGGGATGGATGGGATGGATGGATGGATGGATGGATGGATGGATGGATGGATGGATGGCAGTTGGCTGCGTGTAATGAAACTCGCATATCATTCGGTGATTTCATTGTGGATAATTTATGGTAAGAGAGAGACAGACAGACCGACAGAGATGAATAGAGAGAGAAGAGATGAAGAGAACGAAAGAGAGAAAAGGGGGATACGTAGAGAAAGGGGAAGAGAAATGAAGAGAACGAAAGAGATAAAAGAGTAAAAACGACAAGAAGAAATAGATAGATAACTAAATAAACATAATTATACGTAAATAGTCAAATACCTAAAAACTAACACACACACACACACACACACACACACACACACACACACACACACACACACACACACACACACACACACACACACACACACACCTTGCCTACATTACCTGTCAATATTTCAGTCATCCTGCCATTAACAACTTTGTCACAATAGCGTTAATTAACACACATTCACCTGGCGTATAAAGCCTTACTAATACCCTACCTCTACATTAGCATATTACCTGTAGTCTGATTAGATTTTAGATCATAGTATTACGTATAATTAAACCTTTTTTGTAATTCTATATCAATTTTAAACCTATTTGAAAAAGGAAATTTGCAAATATATGTTCGTTTATTTTTTTTAAGGGGGCTAATAAGCTGCCTTTACTTTTTTATATAATTATCTTTGAAGATATTTTTATATAGTTTTTCGATATCAAGAAATTATTGATATTTGTATAATTAGGATTTCTTATATTTTTAACATACTTTTTTTAATGTTACTATTATTATTATTATTATTATTATTATTATTATTATTATTATTATTATTATTATTATTATTATTATTATGTGAATTCTTTTATATAAATAGATATGTAAATTTTTATGTAGGATTGCAAGCTCTCAGGTACACACTTATGAATAACTGTTACATTGTATTCCCGGATCTTGACAACCAATTTCAGTTAAAGTTTACAACCTCATAACCTGGTGGCAAGTTATTCGAGTTCCTCCTCCTCCTCCTCCTACACATTCTCCTCCTCTTCCTTCTCTTCCTCTTCCTCCTTACTCTCCTCCACTTCCTCCTCCTTCTCTTCCTCCTCACTATCATCCTCCCCCTACCTAATTTTTCCTCCTCCTTCTCCTCCTCCTTCTCCTCCTCCTGCTCCTCCTTATAAACCGAGTTCCTTGACCTTTCGCTGCAATATTCCCTAAGCCAGATGACAAGAGTTGAGTCCTGAGAACATAGAGCGCTCTTATTTTCCACACTTTCAGCACTTGAGAGCTCTTTTGGTTATATTTCTGTGCTCACATTACTAGAATTAAGCATCTGGGAGCTCTTATTCACCACAATTGAGCTCTTGGGAGATATTTCTAGGTTCACATTACTAGAATTAAGCATCTGGGGACTCTTATGCATCACAATTGAGCTCTTGGGAGATATTTCTAGGCTCACATTACTAGAATTAAGCATCTGGGAGCTCTTATTCACCACAATTGAGCTCTTGGGAGATATTTCTAGGCTCACGTTACTAGAATGAAATACTTAAGAGTGCTTCTAATTCTTCCTACTATATTTTGAACACTAAAAAAGCTCCCTTAGAGATCTATACCGGACCCGTTTTCTAGATCTGAGCACCGGTGGAGTCTCTCGGGAATCATTCTCCTGAGCCCGGCGCCGACTCACCGTATTGGTGTAATGGGGAGGAGATCTCTTGAGATAGTTTTCAGATACTTAGGTTATTTTTTTTTCTCCTTTGTTATTATTGGTGAGAGATGAATGTAGAGAGAGAGAGAGAGAGATAGAGAGAGAAATAGAGATGAAGATAATGAGATAGAGATGACAATGAGAAAGGATGATGAAGATAGAGATAATAGATAGATAAAGAAATGAAGTTAGAGATACATAGAGATGAGAGAAAAATAGTGATAGAAAAATATTAAGGATAAATGAAGAGATGAATTAATGTACACACACACACACACACACACACACACACACACACACACACACACACACACACCACACACACACACACACACACACACACACACACACACACACACACCTGTTTACATACACAGACGATCTTAAGCTGTATACTTGTCTACACCTATCTACCTACCTACCTGCATGCCTGCCTGCCTGTTACCTGTCTCTCCTATTTACCACCAACCCCTCCTCCAACCTACCTCCCTCCCTCCCTCCCCCTGCCTCCCTCTCTCCCCTCCCCTCCCCTCCCTCTCCCTCCCTCTCTTATCCCACCCCCCTCCCCCTCCTCACCCCCTAAGTCTCCCCCCTGGTGTGCTTGCTCAGTACTCGCTCCTAGTTCCCTACATCGCCTGCTGTTATTCATTATTCATATACCATGTTTCCGTTCCGCTTATTCTACCTCCTCCTCCCTCCCTCCCTCCCTACCTCCCTCCCTATCTACCTCCTTCCCTGCCCTCAACTCCTTCCCCCCTTCCCTGTCCTCTTCCCCCACTCTCCTTCCCTTCCCTCTCCAACCCTCTTCCCACGTTTCTTTCCCTTCCCCTCTTTCTTCTTCCATCCCTCTCTTCCCTCCCACTCCACCAGCAGTGAGAGTGTGGGAAGGATTATGAAGTTTGTGTTATGGCATCTCAGTATTTGCAGCAGATATTTTAGGATTCTTCTGTCTGTCTGTCTGTCTGTCTGTCTCTTTTTCTAGATATTACTTAAACTTGATTCTCTATCGATACAATAGCTTACATATTAAGTGATCCCCCCGCACACACACACACGTCTCTTTGCTTTGTTTTGTACCACTCAATACGACACACTTCCTCACACCCACAGGTATTGGAGCTGAGTCCAAGAATCAATATCCTGTAATCTTACGGCTCCAAGGTACAAAACTTGAGCTGACGTGTTTGCGAGAGGTTAATACATGTAATGCTTCCTTTGTCCACCATTGGATTATTATTATTATTATTATTATTATTATTATTATTATTATTATTATTATTATTATTAGTAGTAGTAGTAGTAGTAGTAGTAGTAGTAGTAGTAGTAGTAGTAGTAGTAGTAGTAGTAGTAGTAGTAGTAGTAGTAATAGTAGTTGTAGTAGTTGTAGTAGTAGTAGTAGTAGTAGTAGTATCATCAAAATATGACTATTACCAAAATAAACATCTGAAGACGAAGAAGAACGAGAATATCCAAACTACAATGGGAAAGTTACCATATATTTTCCCCTGTCAGTCACACTCCCATCCAATAACAGAGTTTCTTATCGTCTGTATCGTTCGTGTATTCTTAAGCTAGATTTGCTCTAAAACACCCAATCTCGTCTTGCCTTTTTTTTTTACAGTGACATGTAATTATTTACTTTATGTTAATAATGTCTGTTTTGTTTTATTTGCTTATTTATCTTTTGTTTTGTGTCTATTATTTGGTCCTGTTTTGCATCTTTCTGGCTTTTTTTATATTGTGTGTTTCTCTTGGTCTTCGTATCTCTTATCATCCATCCTCTATCTCTAGTTCTTGCTGTTTGTCTTTCTTAACAGTTTTCTTTCTTTACTGTTCGTTCTCTCTCCCTTTAATGATCTGTCTGTCTGTCTGTCTGTCTGTCTGTCTGTCTCTCACGGAGCAGGTGAGGAGGACTGTACCTGTGTAATTACCACTACTGTCGGTGATGGTGTGACAATGGTTTGTTCTCGCCTCCAATTAGTATAAATAAGTTCTAGTAACCTTAAGTGGCAGTGGCTTGAGGGTTAACACTGCTTAGCTTTTTGTGTTATATTTTGTCTGTAAACATTCTGTAATATACACGGTTAGGCTTTAAGAGAAACACTTTCGGATAATGACTGACTGACGTGCGGGTTGTTCTCTGGGCAGTGGGAAGCCTCGCCTGTGCCGTAGTTGTTTTCTGACTAAGCTAACCCTGGCTCCCACCCCTGATGTTAAGGGGTTCATATTGCCATTAGTCATGTCTGGGAATATATACAGTATATATATGACACATGTATTATATGTCCGTGTGTGTGTTTATCTGTGGTGCAGTGGAACAATGACGACAGCTTAACGCAAGGCCAAAGTTTTAGTTACAGGTTTAGGATTAGTTAGCTTTATCTCTGGTTAGGTTAGAAGTTTGTTAGGGGTTGAGTGAATTTCTAGTACGGGTTGGTTAGGTTAGGTTAAGGGTTGGTTAGATTAGGTGAGGTTACATTACGTTAAATTTCGTTAGGTTAGGATAGTTTTACGCTGTATAATTTTAATGTAAAATAAATAGACTAAAATTAATTATATAAATTAAACAAAGTGTAATATCTCATCAAATGTATATATTATGACAATACGTTATATTCAATCTATGTATTATATTTTATTCCAAATATTATGTAACGTCTTGTACATATTATATACATATACAGTAGATAAAACCTCTTGGTATTTATTGTAGTAAAGTTGAACATTGATCGCTTGTCGTGCACAGAGGTTGAGTATCTTAGTTGTGTCTGATGCCGTGCTCCAAGATGTGAACGGAAACCTTGGCTCTTCCTTACACGCCGGATGCATAAAGCTCTCGCCCACCAGCCTCTCTCTCTCTCTCTCTCTCTCTCTCTCTCTCTCTCTCTCTCTCTCTCTCTCTCTCTTTTTACCTTCACACACACACACACACAGACACAGAATCGCCCCCCCAGACACACATAAACTCACACCCTGAGCTCCCGACTCACACACTAAGGCCTGTAATAATTCCATCCACTGAACTCAGATAAATATAGATTTTAGATCCATCAGAGTGAGAGCGAGGGAGAGGGAGAGGATACAGAGGGAGGAACGTGGGACAGGGAGAAGAAAAATGAGAGGGAATATGGGAGAGGAAAAAGAGACTAAGGGAAGGGACGCGAGAGAGGGAGAGACAGACAGACAGGAATCAGTTCATGACTTCTACAGGCACGACATATCGCTCTTACATGCTCTTGGCAAACACAATACAAACACAACTTGATTCAGCTGCATGTGGACGGCCCTGCATAATAAACTTACACGGTTAGATCAACTCCCATCGCAACCCCAAACCAGTCTCTCCATGTTAATTTACACGTCCATTGATTGAGTAAATTAGTTGCTGGAGGCTGGAAGCCCCTCTGAGAGAGAGAGAGAGAGAGAGAGGATGAGAGAGAGAGAGAGAGAGAGAGAGAGAGGAGAGAGAGAATGAGAGAGAGAGAGAGAGAGAGAATGAGAGAGAGAGAGAGAGAGAGAGAGAGAGAGAGAGAGAGAGAGAGAGAGAGAGAGAGAGAGAGAGAGAGAGAGAGAGAGAGAGAGAGAGAGAGAGAGAGAGAGAGAGAGAGAGAGAGAGAGTCTATCTTATTTCAACAGATCTTCAAAGGTTCACATTTTTAGGGGGCCATGACTCACGTTTGTATTACCAATAACTGAAGATAAACACAAACCATAATTATTAAGTCTTATTTGATCTTTCTCACAAAACATCACAAAGTCACTATTGAGAAAGAGAAAGGACACACACACACACACACACACACTCTCTCTCTCTCTCTCTCTCTCTCTCCCTCTTGTCACGATTTTAAGTAAATATTTAAATATAAAGTTTTTTCTTAAAGTAGAGGGTGAAGGGAGAGAGGGAGGAAAGGGGGGGGAAAGTGGATGGTGGAAAGTGGAGGGTGAATGGAGGGTAGCTGTTGGAGAGAGAGAGAGAGAGAGAGAGAGAGAGAGAGAGAGAGAGAGAGAAACATTTTAACACTCCATTAGATACTTGACAAATGTGATTGTTTCTGCTACTGTCTCTGAACTCCACCATGACCTAAATGTACGTCTCGCCCTCCATCACCCCCACCCACCTCTCTACGGGCTACCTGACATTCCCTTACATCGACCCATTCCATTCCCTTAATGACCCTGAAACCAGTTCGTGGTCTTAAAACCCAACCAATGGCCACAGGACCCTGGGGAGGAGAGGGGGAGGGGAGAAGGAGGGGAAGGGGGAGAAGGAGGGGAGGGAGAGAGGGGAGGGAGAGAAGGAGGAGGGGGAGGAGGAGGGAAGGGGGAGGGGGAGATGGAGAGGGGTAGGGGAAGGGGAGGGGAGAGGGAAGGAGACGGGGGAGAGGAGAGAGGGTGAGGGGGGACACTTTGCCACAATATATTTTAACCCTGAAAGCGTTTGTCTTCATTTACACATTGCTTATCGACGATTTGTGAACAGATTAGAGGGGTAATGAAGATTTAATCCGTCCCTCGGAGCGCCCATAAACCGGGTTCTAAGCGAGTCATCCAAACCAGCCCGAGGATAAGTAATTCGGCTGAGACGGATCACAAATTCGTATAAGTTGTCTTTAATTGCGGGGAAAAAAATGGACCTCTTCGTTTTTCTTCGTCGACTGCTGAAGAATCTGTCCAGAATTCTCCCGGAGGAAAAAAAAAAGATTTAATTTTTGTTTTATTTTCTATAAACTTCTTTCTCTGTCTGTCTTTCTCTGTCTCTTTCTTTCGCTGTTTCTTTCTGTCTCTCTGTCTGCTTCTCTCATATAATTTATCCCTCCTGGTGTATTTACAGATTGGTGTGTCTCATAAAGGAGCTTTTAAATGGAGAAACGGTATGTGAAGCAATCTGCAGAAGAGCTTTCTCAGAGCGTGTATAAAATTCGGCCTTGCCTCACTTCAGTTCATTTCCCAATAAGTACATTAAGTTTGTGGTGGAGAGAGAAAGAGAGAGAGAGCGAGAGAATGAGAGAAAATGAAACGGGGGTGAAGAGATATTGATAGAGACGGTAAGAAAAGGGCAGGAAGAGAAAAATAAGAGATGGGAAGACAGAGGACGAGAGAAATTGAGAGAAGGGAAACCAAAAAAGAAAACGGGAGAGGATGAAACAGAAAAAGAGAGAGAGAGAGAGAAAAGGAGAAGGGGAAACAGAAAAAATAAGAAAGATGGGGATAAAGTGAAAAAGGAAGAGAGATGGGAGAGAAAGAAAGGGATAGAAAATGAGATACAATTACAACTAATTATAGATAAAGAGACATGTGCTTAATAACGAAAATAAAAGCTTGTGAGATAAAAAAAAAATCGAAAAATAGAGATTAAGAAAATGTTCAAAGACAGAGAAAGAGAAAAAGAGAGATAAAAATAAATATAAAAAAACAGAGATAAATTAGTAAACACGGAGAGAAAGAGAAACTTTTAAAGACATAGACCCAGAGAAAGAGAGAGAGAGAGAGAGAGGCAGAGTTCAAGCGAAAACACACACACACACACACACACACACACACACACACACACACACACACACAAACACACGCTAAACTTTAAAATCCTCAGTGACCTTCATAACGCCAGCTCTACTCGACCGGCCATAATAACACGAACTGGATTTAAATAAGAGTGTCCATTCCAGCACCACTCCCTTCTGGTATGACACTTAAGCTTTTAAGCTCATTTGAGTCTTAGGGGTGTTGATATTTGGCCTCTGACGGTGTTTGTGTTTGTATGTGTGTGTGTGTGTGTGTGTGTGTGGGTGTCTCTGTGTGTGTGTGTGTGTGTGTGTATGTGTGTGAGTGCCTGTATTTGCTCATGTCTTTATGTGTTTGTTTTTTGTGTGAATGAGGGCATGTTCAGTGTTTGTTTCTTTGTAAAGTAACACGTCTACCTGATCACAACACCATCTCAGAATCACAATATCAAACACCTTTCTCATACCATTGTCGACTTAGTCTCACTCTGTCTCTCTGCAGCGGTACAAGAAAAATTGCCTTATGATTTAATCTGAAAGTCATTAGCATAAATGTTTTTAAATTGACGAATTTCCTTGTCCAAAAATAAAAAAAATTCTTTGCTTCATTACACGTGTGAGGAAAAAAAACGAAAGTTTCCATTATCAAAACAATTTCCTCGTTTCTTGTCGTTTCTTCTCGTCTTTCCCTCCTTCTAATTTCATTGTCTTCATCTAGTTATCGCTTGATTGAATGAAAATGATAATTACTAGAATTTCCCAGCGAGGTAACAGTGTTGGCTGTCGAGAAGTTCGTTTTAAAAAGACGATAAAATTAAGGAGAAGGGAAAATGATAAATAAATGAGACTAATATAAAGAAAATAGAGAAGTAGAATATTACCAACAAATGCTACCCCCACCCCCCCCCCTCACCCACTCAAACACCCACACATAACATAGAGTCACACAACCAAATACCTACTCACGTATCCACATACAACCAAATCACCCACTCCCCACACACACTCCCCCCCCAACACACACACACACACTCACTGTAGGTAAATCATCATTAGCACCCAAAAATCACACAGGCTTCATAACATCAGCCCCCAAGTATATCATGATATCCACGAGAGAAAATAGAATTCCTTTTTCCACGGACTTTCAAACCCAAACTTTTTCCATTTTATTTGCCGGAGTTTCATTCGAGGTTCCGGTGAGTCTGCAATGGTTCTTATTTCTCATCTCTCTGAGGAGTGAGAGAGGACGTGGGTAGCATATCAGTGAGTTGGATCTCTCTCACTGAACGTCTCATGAGAATTCTGGCGTTGAAGGGAATGTATATCGCTAATGTTGCAAATGTTGGTCACGGTGTTTGAGTTTGTGGAGTCCGAGGAGAATGGAGGATTTAGCGTTGATATTGCAATGTTGGTTGAGTGTGTTTGAGTGGAGATGGTTGTCGGGGGGAGGGGGTGGGGTGCAGTTTATCGTCTAATACTGTTATGTTTGTCAACGTTGTTTCGAAATTACGAGTTCACAGCGATTCATTCAGTATATCGCTATTGCTGTAATGTTGTTGTTAACGATCTTAAATGACGACATAACACCAAGGTTACATATCAAGGATGTTTCAATATTTAGTCTGGAATGTTTAATTACGATGTTTTCAGAGAACGAATATAGAACAAATGTTGAAATAATAAGTCAAGATGTTATGATAATATGGACTTAAATCTGTAATGTGTAGTTAAGATTTTGTAAGGGAACGAATGTATGGTAAATGTTGCAATGTCTGATCACTACGAATGGTGGAATAGCCGAAGGGAAGTCAAGAGGTCAATCAACTTTAAAACGGATATAGAGTATGTGTACCTGTAACGGTGTCTCGCTTCTTGCAATATTGGATGAAGAGGAAGAAGATGAATTAGGGGATGGAAGATGAACCGGGGAAGCAAATACATCTAGAAAGCAAATTTATTTCAAATGTCGTAGCAATGATGTTTACGAAATTAAAATTGGAATTGATTGGTTGACTGTGTGTGGGAAATCTCTGTCGTGGAAGTGAGTCACGAATGTTGGTGAAATGAGGACAACTAAAGCTATGACGTTGTGTGTTTGTGTGTGTGTGTGTGTTTTTTTTTTTATTTGCTGATTTTTTTATGAAAGGAAAAGATAAAGCAACGAGATTATAAATATGAGCGGATGTGATATTGCAACGTGTGATGAAAGGTATAGGCACGACAGTTAATTACGAAAAACCTAGAGAAAATGAGAATGAATAAGTCCGTGATATTGCAATATATATCATAATGGTTAATGATGATGAGAGAGATATACCCTAAATGACTGGAGGCAGACTGGTGATGGTGGTGGTGGGGGGGGAAGAAGAGGCAATACTGTATCTTATGTTGCAATGTTGATTACGATCCTGGGATGCGGACATGAAAAGTGAATCAGGGAAACAGATGATGTTGCAAGCTTTATTGCAGGGTGTTGGTGAAGATAGAAAATTATATCAACAGGAAATGAAGTCAGGTAGAGCATTATTACTGGAATTACAACGTTTCTTATAATGTTGGCTGGAATGAAAAGACGGGGATCTGAAAGTTGCATTGCTTCTTAAAATGTCAAACGAAGAGGCAAAATGTGTTGCTTAAAGATGCAGTGCTTCTTTAGGATGTCATCTGAGGAGGCAGGAGGTGATTCTATATGGGGAATAAGCAAGTGAGCTGTGATGTGCGTGAATGAGCGGATACCATTGGGTCAGGTTAGTGTCTTGGTGATGGACGTGTTGTTGATGGGTGACGTTGGCGTGTGGGAAGCAGACAAGGCGGATAATTAGGGTCTTACTGTAGAAGAGAATCATAGCACGATGCATCTCTTATAGCAGTTAAAATGAAAGAATGGCAGCGAATGTGGGGTGTGTGTGTGTGTGTGTGTGTGTGTGTGTGTGTGTGTGATAATAATAATAATAATAATAAACGGTTTATTGAAAAAGTTTGCAGCCCGAAGGTTGAAAATATACATTGGACATGAATGACTTATTACATACATTGGAGGTTTAACAAAAGCCTTCATTAGAGAAAGGTGAGGAACATATACAGTGAACATACAGATTAATGTTGAGGGGCATCGCGTGGAGTACTAGATCCCTCACAGGTGGTATTATGAGGGGCTTGACGTGGTGTAGTAATTCCCTCACAGATGG